CTGCATTTTTTCTTGACACCATCTATTTATCCACTATCTTTTATCTATAACCTATCTATTCATCTACTATGCATATATCTGCCATCTCTCTATAATCTATCTATCTAATCTGTCATCTGTCTATAATCTATTACTTTCTATTTATCTATCACTTGTCAGTCACTGATCATCTAATATGCATGTATCTGCCATTTATGTACTTGTCCACCTATCCTCTAACTAGTTAGTTACTTACTTATTTTCTATCTAAATTTTTCTCAGAGCCTTTAACATTTTCAGGTGCTAACTCTCTATGTAAAAACGTTGGCACTAGATTATGTTATTTTCTTGGATTCTTTTCTAATATTAGATGCAAGAAAATACTTTGCTCTTTCCCTATATTATTCATGTTAATTAATTGTTTGGGTCTTGTTTGGGACTCCCTACAGTTTGAGGGGAAAGCCCAAAGTCCTATCGGATGCAGCCTTTTTACTTGGACTGCATGTTAAGCACTTTCCATCTTCCTAAGAAATCTTTCAGCTAAATTACATTATTTTCTATACTTGGTACTAAATGTTTTCCCAGGCAACACAAACTGAGCACCTTGCCCTGCCATGTCTGTTCATCACTGTCCCTCTGAATTTTTCTTTTCATGTACCATGTTATTTATATAAGATTATAATAAGTTATTTGGCAACCTTTCTTGTGTTTTGTATTTGTGTTCATTAATAAACTAAATTATCAGTGATATTTCATCATATTAATAGCTACTCCTAATGACTCAAGTCACCCAATAATAACCCACACTCTGAGACTGCCAGAGTGAGGCATTGTGGTGATATCACCTGGAGATATGCCACTGTCACACCAACTGTGACATCTGTTTTCCTGGTTAGGTTGCTCCAAAAGTCTTAGTAACAGGGAGAGGTCAGGAATTGATTCCTGAATTTTGGCAGGTCTACTCAAATCAACTTCTGACATCAAGGATGAGAAAGCTAAGATGCCATGTGGTCCACACCTCGGCCTGTGTTCAAGACAACACCCGTTTCTTCAGATGACCTGCATAAGTGGTGTGTGAGCACCCTATTTGCTTCAGCAAGACTGGAAGTTAATTTTTGACTGTGAGCTAAGCTGGGTCTGGTCAAGGTAGTCATTATATTTAACCAACCTTTGGTTTTCTGAGGTTCCCTTTGTCATGGTTCTTTATTTTGGAATCATATTTCTTCCTAAACGATTATAAGAGCAATCTGCTTAAGTATGTGTATCTCTTTTATGCCAGAATAGTACTTAATGTATCAATATCTTCATTTTTATAAGCCTTTTAAACAATTATTATATAAGGGTTTGCATATTAAACCAAAAAGGTAGGGAATTGGGGGAGGAGCAATACTAGACATCAGGAAGGCTGTACTCACTAAAATTTAACCAACACAAACTAGAGTGGCAAAGGAATGTGGTATGGAATATAAAATCACTGTTTCATGCCAAACTGGCACACCAGTTCCTTTAACTAAGCCATAGGAGATCTGAAAGTTATCTAAGTTTATAAAAATGAGACTTAAGGTTGATTCTTCAACAGACATAGACTGTTATAGAGAGAATCACAACTGATAAAAATGCAGATAATAGGTGACCATGTGATGCCTAGTTTTTGTACCCAAGGCTTAGGGGTAATAGTAGAATGCTTAATTGTTAATAATCATCCTGAACATTAATTAGCCTTTGGGATTTTTTTAATATAATTTTTTATTGAAAAAAAAAATTTCTGCCTCCTCCCCGCCTCCCAT